TACATTTATATATATATATATATATATATATATATATAAACATATATAAATATACATATGCACACAGTATATAATTGTTTCATTTAGTAAAGTTTGATTGTTATTATGATTCTTACGATCTACTTTAAGTTTTCCAATAAAATAGCTTTGCTGCTGATATGGTATTAAATTAATTAATTAATTAATTAATTAAATAGACAGCACATTCCCAAAGAAAGACACGACACCTTTGATAAGACCAAGGGACTTTAATAAAGGTCGATTCTTGTCTTCTCATTGACCATATGGTGCGTTAAGCCCATTTTTGTAACACATGACCGGATGCACTTTCAGTAAACTACCGCCACTCCTAAAAGGCAAACGGTGATGGTGGAAGGCATCAATTATAAAAGTTCATCCTTCTGACTGACTGTAATCCTTGTGTACGGTTATTGCTTTTTCAAAGGGGAGCTGACAGTTTGGATTAGATTCTGATTGCATCTCTTATACAGTCAGCTTCATTTTGCTGTGTGATAAAAGCAGCATTGTTGCTGTTTTTTTCTTTTTCTTTTACTGTATTTCCACAAAATCATGATGTGTAATTTTCATTTCCTTTCATGAGACCTATTGCTAGTATGAGCTTTTCTCTGCAACAGAAAAGACTGTGAATGTCTTTACTGAGAGCCTTCATGATTCTGAATTAATGCATTTCCAAGACCAAGGTTACTGTACTGAAAGTATTTTTGTAAAAATTAGAGTTTATAATTTAGCAGACTGTGGCCTTTGTACATTTATAGTTATTTTTAACAGTGGAGCACAATTTTGTGGAGCGTTTTTTTTTTTTTTTTTCCTCCTCCAAACAATAATTTGGTGAGATAAATGATGCAGTACGCGTGTTTTGATGTCTCAGACCAGGAGAGGTGCGGAGTCTTTGGGTGCAGCTTAGAAAAGACGAGCCTCACCTCCTGTCCAATTTTGAGGAGTTTCTTGCCAGGGTCACTTATCAGATCAAAGAGGCCAACCAGGAGAAGAAAGAGATGGAGACGGCCCTTAAAAGGTCAGATGTCAATTAAGATGTTAAAATCAAAATGTTGAAAAATGTGTTAGTGCTACCTTTAAAATAAATGGTTGACTTGGTTTGATATTTTGTTATCTATTCAGTGGCATTCATACATTTTTGAGTGTCAGCCCACTATATGAATCCCATTTTGGTTGACTTGACAGTCACATAGTATTCGTAGAGGTCGACCGATGTATCTGTTTTGCCGATTAATCGGCACCGATAGTTGATGGCTGGAACTATCGGTTATCGACAAAAATAAGACTCAGTGGACAGATGTGATGCAAGGAATAGGTAAGTTGGCTTCTGCATGGATTTATCACAGTTGAGCCTGACTGTATAAGTGGTAACAGACTTGGCTTTTGCTGTGCTCCAAAAGTGGATTTTCTGAGCATGAGCAAAGGTTAGATTTTGGTGCCGAAAGGTAGGTTTGCAGCATTCTGTTGATAATTAAAGGATATATTACAAGCAAAAAAAATTTGAATGAAAACTGTAAATAATGTGTAATTCATGCTCACATTATTATGAGCATCACTCGATTTTCTAATGTATTGATCCCTTTAATTTATTAAATACCACTTATTCTCTTTATGTATGTATTGAGGCTTGATGGTCATGTCTACTGTGCCTTTGTCACCTGATTTGTATCTAACTTTAATATTGTCTCCTAGCAAAAAAAAAAAAAAAAGCAATGGGAATAAGGTAACAAAAGATAAATTGCTTCTGAATCAACTGGCAAAGAATAAATGCTTTTTGAATGACGTCTGTTCCATGGACCCAATGAATAGTTTCATTCTTTCATATGACTAAGTGACTTAAAAGCTTTTTGAGTGATCCTGACGTCTTTCATAGGAAAGCGGCGACACATGATGATGAAATCCAGAGGCTGTATGAAGAAATGGAGCAACAGATCAAGAATGAGAAAGACAGGATACTTTTAGAGGTGAAACAATTATTACAGTTGAGTGTTACCATGGACCTCAAATTGTGTACTTCAATGTATATATATATATATATATAATAGTATATAATTAAATATATAATATAATTTTTTTTTATTAAAACATTAATTTTACACTACATTCAGAGCATTTCAGATTCACATTTCATACCAAAATCAGAAGAAAAATATTTTTTGCAAGAGATGTGAAAATTACATTTAGTGCTTTTATGATATTTCGAAATCTATTGGCTGAAATATATTTATGTACATCCTGCCTATGTATATGCCAATATATACGATATAATATATGCGTGTTTTGGACATAGTGTAGAATAAATATATTCAATCTCAAAAAGTGAAAAACATATAATTAATATAATGTAATGTAATGTAATATATATACTATAATATAATGTAATATCCACCTTATTTTTCAACCCAGAGATAAGCTTTTTTTCCTGTGAATGTGCAAGAAACACCATTTTGCCATATCAAGCAGCAAAACTAGTTTTTTTGTACAGCTAAACATATCTGGAAGCAGATGACACCAGAAACTTGACACATTAAATTTCCAAATGGCCACACCCGCTCTTACGGGTATATAATATAATATAATATAATATAATATAATATATAATGTAATGTAATGTAATGTAATACAATATTATATAATTTCATGTTTTTTTTTTTTATTAAAACATG